GTGGAAATTTAGTGGTTCTAAGTTCTTCTCATTTGTCAATTAAAAACCAACTATATTTGACTTTGCGTCAGCTTGTGGTATTAACTGGCTTTCCTCTCTATTTTGCGAAAACGAATTTGCACGTTCCACTGAGCTTAAAACAGTGAACCTATATGGATTCGAAATCTAGCACGTTAAATACCCTTTCGTGACAACCACAGCCATGTTTTAATACACCCTTGAGGAAGATCTTTCTTGTAACACTAAAGATCGATAAACACAAACATACGTAATCGGACTGCATTTGTGTTTTTGAAGTAATTTTTAGCTGTGTGTAGATGTTTCACGTCTTTAGGACGATCTGCCTTCTGGGAGCAAAAACCACCTAGAACACTCACCTGCTCACGAAGACGACGAGCCGCAGAAGGCATCAAATGTGTTATCGAGAAGGTGAACACTACTGTGTGCAATCGAGAAAATGTGTATGGTAGTTTAATTAAATATTTGCAGATTGAAACCAACTCTCTCCTAGTAGATTGGATTATGTCGCCGTCATCCACTATCAAGCCACCGAAAGTAATTCCAAAAAGTGAGATTCCGAAGTGGGTTTCAATACATATCCTTTCAACAATCACTATGTAAAAAGCCTCAAACTCTTTTTTTTTTGAGAGTGTCTCGTATTGATCCATCTGCAAATCCGCGACCGAGTACTTGTGATCGCATCAAAATATTAGTCGATGATTCTTCCACGGTACGTCCAACAGTTGTATCGGGAATGTTTTGAAAAAGAATTGGGTGAATTTGATATTGAACATAGCTTTTGTAGGTTGTGACTCTTAGGGAGTATTTTGCTGATTTGACGGAACAATACGGAAGCTTGTTCAGAAAGGTCAGCCCTTCAGTGTCTGTTCATTGTGAATTCCTGCTAAGTACAAGTGTTATGCGGATATAAGGCTCAAACGACTTTTTTAGTTACTTGCTAAAAGCGATGAATCGGCTCGTCCTCAATGTGACAGTTGTTCAATTCCATATCAAAAGGAACACGAGCAAAGCTCACCTACAGCGAAAGTTAGTTTCTGCAGTTAAGGAGCTTGAAAAACCAAATCTTAATCAGTTTTGTCAAAACTGGAAACCATGGGTATCATTATTCTAACTATTATTAGTTTTCTTTTGGAAGCGTTTGCTGCTAACACTTGTGAGGGAGTCAATTATATTTGCTTTACCTACTTTCCTAAAGAAGAGCCCATTCAGAATATATGTTCCACTCTGGTGACGTTAAATCTTGACCTCGAATCCGATTCTAGATTTAAAATTTCCGTTTGCATGGGTACTTTCATAGTCGGTCGCCTGTTCATAACGATCATAACGGTCGCACAGCATCAGGCAAGTATCGATCGTCCATCACGTCCGGTTATCGATACTACTCGATGCTGCACGATCGTTACGCTTGGACGACCGGCTATGAAAGCGCTCTATGGCAGCATGAGTGTCAAGACTTCCGGTCGTGCCTTGTGGACTTGCTTTCGCTCGTAATATTGATAGTAGAGCACAGTGAAGACGAACACTTTCGCTCGTAATATTGATAGTAGAGCACAGTGAAGACGAACACTTGCGCAAGGTCATCTTTATTATCAATGGATATTTTAAGTTAATACTGGCGAATGAACATTGGCACGGGCGGGCTCGTAAAACAGTGCAGCAGCATCCATCAGTATTATTATCTCGCACGTAGCACCCCTGTTTATTGACATTTAATAAAGTCAAAATGGGGAGCGCTTTACAATGGGTATGGCCCCTTCACCATTTGATCCAGGCTGCGAAAATTGCCCGCTTGAGTGATGATACTACACCACAACAGGGTAAGGAGAGCGTTTCTGTCTCAGCACACAGCGTGGCCGAATGTGAAAAGATGGTTAGTGTTTCTTGAATTTTATAATTTCTGTGGCCGAAGTAAGCTCATTTTCATGTAGGAGTCGAAAGAAGAAGTTGCCAACGAAGAAGAAGTCTGGGAGTCATCAGAAGAAAGTAGCGATGAAGACCGAACACCTTCGAAATGTGGTAGATCAAGGGTTGCTGTATGCCGCAGCGTCGTTCGACAGAAGCGCATGTAAAGAATCGATTCTCCTTTTCTGAATTTGTATCAAAATATTCAGCATGTATGTTTAGGCGCAAATGTCCAGGCCCGACGGCGAAGATGTACGCCTGCACTGCCGATGGAGGCATCTCGTTTGGCAAGGGATATACTAGGCAATCAATTCGTTGGAGAAGTAGCTGCTATTTTTTTTCTTTTTGTTTCTTCAAATATCTTTTGAGAACCCATTCCTTAGGTGCAGTCATACTTTGCGATTGCCTTGCAGCCAATTTTGTGATAGATACCTTCTTTTTGCCACGCGGAACTCGAACCTTACAATGGTTTATGGCTTATTGGGAGAGCTTGTTCGACCGCTGCGCAAAGCTCAATAGCACCATCTGCCCCAGCTCACGGTCTTTTATGCGCTGGTCGCAGGAATTAGCGAGCTGATTGAGCTGATAAGCGGAAAAGCATCAACATATGGGAAGTGTGTAGTTATGAATCACAAGCTGAATGATCTCGAGTAAATGAAATGCGGAGCTCGTGGACTGAAAATTAGGCAAAACAGCACGAATATATGAAAATATGAATTGTACAATCGGAAAAATAGATATTGCCGG